TAGTAGTAGTAGTAGTAGTAGTAGTAGTAGTAGTAGTAGTAGTAGTAGTAGTAGTAGTAGTAGTAGTAGTAGTCGTAGTAGTAGTCGTAGTAGTAATAATAACAGTCGTCGTAGTAGCAGTAGTAGTCGTATGTGGTACTGCTGTTCTTGTTGTTGTCGTTGTTGTTGTTGTTGTTGGTGGTGGTGTTTTTTTTTTCTGCCGTCCTCCTTCCTGTCCTCCTCGTCCTACGCCCTCATCTCTCTCTTCCCTCCTCCCTCCATCCTCCTGCTTCCGTCCACTTCCCTCCTTCTTCCTCTTCCCTCCTCCCCCTCCCCGCCTCCTTCCTCCCCTCCTCCCCCTCTCCCTGCTCCCTCCTCCTTCCTTCCTCCCCCCTCCTCCCTCCCGCCCTCCTCTCTCCCTCCTCCCTCCTCCCTCTCCCTCGTCCCTCCTGCCTCCTCCCTCCCTTCTCCTTCCTGCCTCCCTCCTCCGTCTGCCCTGCCCCCTCTGCCTCCCCGGTCCCCCCTCCCCCCCGCGGGCCGGAAACACCAGGGGGGGGGGGGGCGGGGCGAGCGAGCGAGCGAGCGGGGGTCGCTGGGCCTGCGTGGGCCGCCAGGGACACGCAGTTCACCAGCATGAGGCTCCTCTCCGCGCGTCGTCCGCGCTCGGTTCTGCTCGTTTCAGGTCGGGCATGCCCTCCTACAGGCGGAATTTGGGCGAAAAGTAAAGAGCAGTCCAGAAATATTCAGACATTTTCCAAACATACTCGAGAAATCGTCCCCATACGAAAATTACAAAAACAGATATTTCTGAATTTTCCTCCTGTAGCGGAACGGGCCCGACTTAATGTTCGTTGCCCTCCGCTTGCAGGTGGGGGCGGGGAGGCGTCCCCCGAGGCCGCGCCTCACGCTCGCTCTCTCCCTCTCTCCCTCTCTCTCGCTCTCGCTCTCGCTCTCGCTCGCTCTCTCTCTCGCTCTCTCGCTCTCTCGCTCTCTCGCTCTCGCTCTCTCGCTCTCTCGCTCTCGCTCTTGTTCTCCCTCGCTCGCTCGCTCGCGCGATGTTTTTTTTGCTTGTTTGTTTTGCTTCTCCTCTCTCCCTCTCTGTATATCTACACATCTGTTTACATTCGCGCATCGATGTGTCGCTTTCTGGCTCGGTGCGCGTGCGCGGGAGCACGTGCTCGAGGCCGGCGGCGTTCGCCAGAAGGACGAGGGCGGGGAGCACGGTGCCTCTCTGGGGGTCCCTCGGTGGCCCCAGGCCTGGCCGGAGTCGGCGGCGCGGGCGACCCCCGGACGCCCGCCCCGCCCCGCCCCGCCTGTCTGGTTCTGCCGTCTGCCTCTCTGCTCCGGGTCCCCTCCTGCTAATCTCTCCCTCGTGCTCCATCCTTCTCCTCCTCCTCCTCCCTCCTCCTCCTCCCTCCTCCTCCTCCTCCTCCTCCTCCTCCCTTTCCTCCTCCTCCTCCTCCTCCTCTCCTCCTCCTCCTCCTCCTCCTCCTCCTCCTCCTCCTCCTCCTCCTCCTCCTCCTCCTCCTCCTCCTCCTCCTCCTCCCCCTCCTCCTCCCCTCCCCCTCCCCCTCCTCATTCTCTCGTGCTCCATCCTCCTCCGTCCCCTTGTGCTTTCCCTCCTTCCTGCCCCAGTTTTGGGGTCTGCACCAACTCCACGTGGCGCAGCAAGGAAGGCATACCTCCAACGGGGGTACGATCGAAGAGGAAGAGAGCGGGTATCGAGGGTTTGGGATACGCGTGTTGGATGGCACGCGAGCAGGTAAAAATAAGAACGAGCAGTCTCGAAATGGTTGTGGTCGACATCTGGTGGTGTACGCTGGGAGTTGGAAGTTTGAGGCTGGAGGTCGGCCAGGCGACCCTGGGGGTCGATGGGTGGAGGTCGGAGATTGGAGCTGGAAAGTTGGAGGTCGACAACTGGTGGTGCTTGCAGGGGGCGGGAAGATGGAAGCCGGAGGTCGGTCGGGTGAGGTTGGGGGTCGACAGGTGGAGGTTGAGAATTGGAGGTGGGATGGGATTTTTTATCTTGACAAAATTGTTTTCCCACTTTCCCCACAATGGCAAATTTGATGCTACTGATAACCGCTGCTTCTTGCCGTATTGGTTTTCGCTGTCGTCCACGAAGCTCTCGGAAAGGAAGAAATTGCATCTATTATCGGCCCAATTCTTCTGCTGTTTTCTGCGTCTTCGTTGTGCTGGGCGTGGGTCGTGCTTTTTGGTTCCTACTTGGTCACTACAAGCGTCCACCTGTCAGAGTCGTCTCTTGCTAGGCGCGATGCCCACCTCCATTTCCTTTCTGAAGTACAACGTGGCCCACTCTGCGAGGCGTGACATGCTGCTGCGTGTGTCGCTCTCTGTATGAAGTCTGCCCATAGTTCTGGGTCCTCGTCGCTGTTGTCGCGCTCGCGGCCTCCGTCGCTTGAGCTGCTCATGTCGGTGGCGTTGCGATTGCGGTCAGTACCGTCGCTAGCGTGCTGGTTGCGAATGCTGCGTTGCCGCGGCATCCCCATGACAAGCCTGAGCATTCTCAGTTGGACTCGTATACAAGCGATGAGCATGCCCTTCGTGAGTGGAACACAATGAGCACCCATACATCACTGCCGGCGTGATTGTGCCGTTGAAGAGCCGCCATCTACTGAGCAGTGGAAACTGCTTGTTTGTGACCTCGTGGCGCACTTGATCGAACCAGCCCCATCCTGCAACAATCCGATTGTGTAGTTCTGCGTTGTGAAATGCGTAGAAGCTGAGCTTTTTCCTTGGTGGCTTAGTCGAAGCTCAAAACCCCAATACTCTCGCTGTTGATGTCGGCATGGGTGATTGTTCTGGTTTCCTTCTGGCTGATCTTCGTCAGGATCTTGGTTTTGTCCAGATGCAATGATCACCACTTTTTTTCCTGTTTGGGCGCGGACGCCTCGAGGCACGCGAGTGAGTTGTCTCAGGTTGGGCGCGCAGAACAGCATGTCGTCAGCGAAGCGCAGATTCGTGATCTGATCTTGTGGTGCAGAGTCCCAAGTGGATGCCGTACTTCTTCCGAAGCCACGTTGGTTTCAACTGCCAGCAGACATGCTTGAGGACAGCGTTAAGGAGGAAGGAGCTGAATGGGTCTCCCTGTTGTGCGTCTCGTTCGATGATTAAAGGTCTGCTCGTGGTGTTGGTGCGAGCAGATGCTGTTTGGCCGGGGTAAGATCGCATAAAGAAACTTATGTAGACCGGTGGTATATGATGAGACCGTAAGGCTTCCCATAGGCATCCATGGTCAACGCAGCCGAACGCCTTCTTGGGGTCTATTGCTGCTGTCCAGAGCGGTACCTGCCACTCGTAAGAACTTTCGTGTAGTATTACAGTGGTGACAATGTGGTCCTCGGTGCAATCGTTTTTTTCTGAATCATGCCTGGTCAGGGCATTACTGCGAGTCACACAGAGAACTCAGCTGGTGACAAAGGAGGCGAGACAACAGCATATACTTCAACGGTGTGATTACAATTTTCTGTAACTGCTTGGAAACTTCGGGTCGTCAGACTTGTGGATCGCATTGGTGGTGGTGCTCCTCCACTGGTCTTGGGGGGGTCTGCTTGGTCTTGATGATGTCCGTGTAGAGTCGTAAGAGGCGGTCTTGTATGGTAGCGCCGCCTGGTTTGAACTACTCTGCTGTGAGTCCCGCAGCGTCTGTGCACTTGCCGCTTTTGAGCTAGGAAGGGAGGAGTGGGTGGGTGGAGCAAGCGAGTGGAGGGAGGGGGAAGGAGAGATGGAGCGAGGGAAAGGAAGTGGAGGCGGGGCACGAGAAGCAGGAGGACGAAGGAGCAGGAGGAAGGAGAGGACGAGCAGAAGGGGGGATGAGAGTATATAGGTTATGCTGATGACGATGGTTGCGATGAGGATAACGACAGGCAAGGAGGCTGAGGCCCCCCTCCCTCCTCTTCCCGCGGTGGCGAGCGATGGGGGGAAGTGAGAAGGCGAAGGCCTCCTCAGAAGGCGCGGACATCGTCCAGCCTTATGAGAACTTTTATGCGCCTACCCCGAAGACGCGAAACAACTTCTCCGAAGGCGCGAGGGCCTCTGAGAAGTCCCGCCGCCTTCTGCGAATGCCTTCTCCTTCTCACTTCCACCCCCCTCGCTTGCCGCCGATGCTCCTCCTTCTCCTCCTTCTGCTCCTTCCCTGCTTCCTCGTCTTCGCCCTCCTCCAACCCTATCTCTCTTTCCTCCTCCTCCCCCTTCTCTTGCTCTTCCCTCCTCCTCTCCTCCTGCTCCTCCTGCTCCTCCTGCTCCTCCTCCTCCTGCTCCTCCTGCTCCTCGCCCTCCAGCGAGGGCGACAACGACGACGACGGCGGCAGCGACACCGAGGACGACGTCGACGAAAAGATCCTCAGCTCTTCGTGCCGCAGCAACTCCCGCCACTGCGCCACGGTGTGCTGAACGGTGCGGCTAACGGGCGCCGCACCGTCCGCCGCGGCCGGCTCCAGCGACAGTTTGGTCTGCGAGGCGCCCCGCGCCGTCGCTGCCCTCGCCGCCGCCGCCGCCGCCGCCACCGTGGTCGACGTGGTCGTCGTGGTGGCGTTGGTCGTCGTCGTCGTCGTCACTTCCGCCGTCGCCGTCGCCGTCGCCGCCGTCGCCGCCGTTGCCATCGTTGTCGTCGTCGTCGTCGTCGTCGTCGTTGGAAATGGTTTCCGATAAGTTTCCGTGGGATGCGACGTCCGATCCTCCCCCTCGTCCCTCCCCTTCCTCCCACGGGGCGATACGACGGGGGATCTGTGACCCATTTAATGAACCTCTGCGGCGCGAGGACGGCCAACAGACGCCAGCCGCAGCGGCCGCAGCGGCAACGATACCGTGCCGATCGGACTCCTGCCCCCTCCTCCCCCTCCGTCTCCTTTCCCTCCTCCCAATCCCCCACCTTCTCCTTCTGTGGGGCGCCCGAGCAGATGGGGTCGGAGGATCGCACCGCGTCGCCGATTGATCGGGGACGCATCGGCGACGTCGGGATGGATAACATCGGTCTCTGGATCGCGCCGCATCGTCGACGCATGCACTCCGCTCGTTAAAAATAGAATCGGTGAAACTAGGTCTCGGCTAAACTAGATCGGAAGCTTCGGCCCCCGATTTCTGCAATTCCATAAACTAGATCGGCCCGCTTGCATTTTTATTTCCCATACATTAACATACTCTCAGCTCTCCTTTCCAGTCGGGCGCTCCCACATACGCGTGCACCTCGCAATGTGGCGGTCGGCTCGGCTGCGCTGAATTCGGTCAGACCGGGCTCCATATACACGAGGTCATTCAAGGGTCAGTCTGCACGGTCAATCCTGCAGGTCACTCCGGGCTCCAGGACTATCCACGGTCAGTCTGGACTGACCCAGGCTGGCCCCAGACTGACCCTGGACAGACCCCGGACAGACCTCAGGCAGACCCCGGATCCGACCCCGGACCGACCCCAGACTGACCTCGGACTAACCCGGGCTCCCGACGCCCCCCCGCCGGACCCCGGACTGACCCCGGCCCAGACGTACCCCGCACGGAGCCCAGACTGGCCCCGGACTGACCCCTGACTGACCCCGGACTGTCCCCAGACTGTTCCCGGACTGACACCGGACTGACCCCGGACTGATCCCGGACTCGACCCCGGACTGACCCTGGACTGGCCCCGGACCGACCCCGGACTGACCCCGGACTGACCCCGGACTGACCCCGGACTGGCCCCGGACTGGCCCCGGACTGGCCCCAGACTGGCCCCGGACTGGCCCCGGACTGGCCCCGGACTGGCCCCGGATTGACCCCGGACTGACCCCGGACTGGTTCCGGACTGGTTCCGGACTGATTCCGGACTGGTTCCGGACTGGTTCCGGACTGGTTCCGGACTGGTTCCGGACTGGTTCCGGAATGGTTCCGGACTGGTTCCGGACTGGCCCCAGACTGGCCCCCGTACTGACCCCGCACTGACCCCGCACTGACCCCGGACTGACCCCGGACTGACCCCGGACTGACCCCGGACTGACCCCGGACTGACCCCGGACTGACCCCGGACTGACCCCGGACTGACCTCGGATTGACCCCGGACTGACCCCGGACTGACCCCCGACTGACCCCGGACTGACCCCGGACTGACGCCGGACTGACCCCGGACTGACCCCGGACTGACCCCGCACTGACCCCGCACTGACCCTGGACTGACCCCGGACTGACCCCGCACTGACCCCGGACTGACCCGCACTGGCCCCGGACTGGCCCCGGACTGACCCTGGGACCCTGTGACCCCGGACTGACCCCGGACTGACCCCGGACTGGCCCCGGACTGGCCCCGGACTGGCCCCGGACTGGCCCCGGACTGGCCCCGGACTGGCCCCGGACTGACCCCGGACTGACCCCGGACTGACCCCGGACTGACCCTGGACTGACCCCGGACTGGTTCTGGACTGGTTCTGGACTGGTTCTGGACTGGTTCTGGACTGGTTCTGGACTGGTTCTGGACTGGTTCTGGACTGGTTCTGGACTGGCCCCGGACTGGCCCCGGACTGGCCGCACTGACCCCGGACTGACCCCGGACTGACCCCGGACTGACCCCGGACTGACCCCGGACTGGCCCCGGACTGACCCCGGACTGACCCCGGACTGACCCCGGACTGACCCCGGACTGGCCCGGACTGACCCCGGACTGACCCCGGACTGACCCCGGACTGAGCCCGGACTGACCCCGGACTGACCCCGGACCGACTGACTGACCCCGCTGACCCCAGACTGATCCGCGGACTGGCCCCGGACTGACCCCGGACTGACCCCGAACTGACCCGGCCGGACTGACCCCAAACTGACCCCGGGCTTGTCCCGGACTGACCCGGACTGACCCCAGTCTGACCCCGGACCGACTGGACTGCCCCCGGACCGACCCCAGACTGACCCCGGACCGACTTCGCACTGACCCCGGACTGACCCTGGACTGAGACACCCTGGATCCGACTGACCCCGGACTGACCCCGGACTGACCACGGACTGACCCCGGACTGATCCGCGGACTGGCCCCAGACTGACCCCGGACTGACCCGGCCGGACTGACCCGGCCGGACTGACCCCGGACTGACCCCGGGCTATACCCCGGACTGACCCGGACTGACCCCAGTCTGACCCCGGACCGACCGGACTGCCCCTGGACCGACCCCAGACTGACCCCGGACCGACTTCGGACTGACCCCGGACTGCTGACCCCGGACTGAGACCCCGGACTGACCCCGGATCCGACTGACCCCGGACTGACCCTGGGCATGCAGTAGTACGTTGTGTTTAGTATTCAGGTCCCGGCTCGGTAAAACTAGACTCGGTAAAAATAGATCTCGGCTAAACTAGGTCGGTATCTGAAATCTAGTTTAAACGAGCGGAGAGTAATGCATCGCAGATGCGGCGCGAATCTCCGACGCCATTGACTCTGGTCCCATTTGGAAGGGGTGAGACCTCTCCTGCCTTTCCGCGGTTGCATCGCTCTACGCATCCGACGTCGCGAAAACAACTCACGACGACGTGCAAATCTCAAACAGTTTTCTCGATCCCTTTTTTGCGCGGCACTTTCCTCGACCAAGGTCTGTCAGTCAGGGCCTTGCAGCCCGAAGCCAGGCGAAAAATCCGTCGTGGATTGTTGCACGGTGCCGGGCGCCTTGTAAAATCGCCGCCGCCGCCGGAGCCGCCGCAGTTGCCGCCGCCGCAGTTGCCGCCGCCACCGCCGCCGCCGCCGTCGTCGTCGTCGTCGTCGTCGTCGTCGTCGTCGTCGTCGTCGTCGTCGTCGTCGTCGTCGTCGTCGTCGTCGTCGTCGTTTCAGTCGGTCGGTCGTCAAGCTGCGCGGGGCGTGCCCGAACCCCCCCTATGGGGAGGGGGCGGCGGTCGTGCGCCCGCTGGGGAGCCGCAAGGCCGGGGCGGGGGGGGTTGGGGGTGGGCCGCCTGGCCCCAACGGCCTGCGGGTGCCGGCCGCTCTGCCCGTGGTCGCGTGCTGGGCTGCCAGCGGGCCCGGCGAGGCTGCCGCGCGGGGGTGGCGCCTGGCCGGCAGCCCTGCCGGGACAGGTCGCGGCTCACATTTTTTCGACCCGGGCGTCTTCGTCCGGCTTCGGGCCACGGGACTCTCACAGGTCGACCCAGCTTGGAAAATGAGGCAGAACGATGGGGTCCGGGGCTCCCGTCGTGGCTCTTCACGATGTTGCATTTTGTTGTGGTTGTTGTTGCTGTTGTTGCTGTTGCTGCTGTTGCTGCTGTTGCTGCTGTTGTTGCTGTTGTTGTGGTTGTTGTGGTTGTGGTTGTGGTTATGGTCGTGGCTATGGTCGTGGTCGTGGTCGTGGTCGTTGTTGTTGTTGTTGTTATTGTTATTGTTATTGTTGTTGAACATTATTACTTCTAAAGAATAATTATTGTTGGGACCCCTGGTGCGCGACCCCCCTCCAAAACCTAGGCCGCAGCTACATTTTCATCATTTTTTAGCGAAAGCTTCAGAAAAGTGAATTATTACCGGATCCGGTTGTTTTGTTGTACTCCGTTTTCCCTTGCAAAAAACACTATAAAATGAAAATTCTTGTTCTTACTTGATCAAATTGCAAGAATCCCTTGCAAAAAATAAGGTAAAGTGGACATTCGTGCGCGCAAGACGAAATCCTTCCAAAACCTTAGGTTTCGTAGCGATTTTAACATAAAAACATCAAAAACCCAATGGTTTTTTAAGAAAAAATTGTCAAAATGTTCTTCCGCGCGCTCTTGCGGATTCGTAGGAAAACCAACACTTTTTAAACAATTCTGTCAAACGGGCTTTTGCGAGCAACTTTTTCGAACTTCTGCGACAACGTTTGCGCACCTGCCAGGGCCATCATCCCTGTCAAATAATACCATGCGGGACATATTCGTTTTTTCTTCGCGCGCGCACGCCGAAATCTCCAAAAATCATTGGGTTTTTAAGAATTTTAGCACCGCGCATCATAAAATCACACGAATCGCACCGTAGCTCTCCTCTGGCTCTCTGTCTTGCTCTCTCTCTCTCTCTCTCTCTCTGTCTCTCTGTCTTGCTCTCTCTCTCTCTCTGTCTTGCTCTCATATCATGCGCAACAAATGCACGATGCGGGGCACATGCGGGGCCCAAACAAGTGATTAACCTCTGCGGGTGTGTACTCCACGCCAGTGTAGTATCCACGATCGTCCGCGCGCCACGAAGTGAAGTGTCCTGACGTCATAGGGCGGGAAGCTGGGTGTGGGTGGTTCCCGAGAGTCGTGTGGATGTTTGGTAGAGCTTGCATTGCCCCCCCACGAAGTGGGGGTATTGGCTGGCGTCGCATGAAAACCCTGGCACTGGGGAGAACACTGAGCGTTCGGGTAAAATGATTGTTGTTGTTGTTGTTGTTGTTGTTGTTGTTGTTGTTGTTGTTGTTGTTTGTTTGTTGTTGTTGTTGTTGTTGTTGTTGTTGTTGTTGTTGTTGTTGTTGTTGTTGTTGTTGTTGTTGTTGTTGTTGTTGTTGTT